GCAGGGTGGACCACGAACGGGTATTCGAAACCCTTGGGCATGACGGCCTTGGTATCCGGTACACTGATGATGCCGTAGCTTGCACTAGGCCCAGCAAAAAGCTCGGTTATGTTGCGGAAAGTCGGGCCATACTGCATGCCAATGGTCTCAACGGTGTCGTAAAGAAAGCTCCGTGCAGGCTTCTGACAGATCTCCTTGGCTTCGGCAAAGGTTTGCGCGTAGCGCTCGTTCTCAAGGGCCAATTCGCGATGCATGGCCGGGGAGAGAGACGACTTGTAGGTGACAGAGACCAGTCCTCGCGCATGCACCGTCCACTCCTTGATGTCTTCAGACCAAGAAGAGACAGCAAACTCGCTGAGGTTAGCAGACGGACCGGCCTTAGTACCAGTGCGACGAGGATGCAATTGGATCATCACCTCGATACCCTTGTCGGTGTCCGGCACTCTAAGGGCAGTGTCAATGGCAACGTCGCGGAGTTCGTATCCGTAGACCTCCTCCGTGGGGTTCTCTTCCGCAAGCTGACGGGCTGCTTCAATAGCCATGACAACAATACCCGCTCCAGGATAGAGAATGTCGCCCTGGACCTTGTGCTCGCGGATCCAAGGGTTCTCGTTGCATCGAAGGAAGTTGCGCCAGGTAGGATCCGGAGTACCTGGGATTCGGTACCCAAGCAGATCCGTACGCGGCTTCTCTCTGAGTCTGTACTCGCGGCTGAGGTAGGACTCATCCCAGAAGGAGAGCTTATGGTTCCATGCGTACGGTGGCAAGTCTACAAGCATGTTGGTGTCAGATGTGACTTCGTTAACGCGGTTGATGTCAACGTCGCACCCCTTAGTCCACAATTGTCCCATCGCCTCCAGGGCAGTGTGAGCCCCGTCGAACTTGCGTCGTAGTATCGTGGCATAGGATAGGTCTGAGAACCTGTCCTCAGTAGAGAATGTATCGAGCAGGTAGCTTCTCAGGGCTGAATGTGGGCCCAATTCGAGAAAAACACCGGCAAAAGCATATCTGTCGTGAGATCGGACTTTGCCTTGCGCATGGTGCAAGAGAGAACGAACGGCACCCACGAAATTGACGGGAGAAACCAAGTTGTCCACCCAGTACGAAGGTGCCATTTTCTCAGAAGTGACAAGCTTTCCTGTCACAGAAGAGAACATGGGAATATCAGAAGACCGGTGGGGTATGCCAGCCAGAGCAGTCTCATATCTCTCTCGCGCGGCTTCCATGTGGAAAGAATGATATGCCACATCCATGGGCAAACGAGTGCATGGAATCTGCGCTTCCTTCAGGATCTCCTGCAATTCGCCAATAGCGGCATCGTCTCCAGAGATTGTGCAAGCCTTGGGACTGTTGATACAGCCAACGATGGCCTTTCCGAGCTTGAGGAATTGAAGGTACTCGCTGACGCTCTCGGCGCTTGCGGACACGGCCAACATGCCGCCGTTCTTGGAGACAGTCTGAGAAACCTGACCTCTTAGCCACGCAATTTTCACCGCCGCCTCATGATCGATGAAGCCTGCACAGTAGGCGGCTCCGATCTCTCCGCTAGAGTGACCAACAACGGCGACAGGCTTGACACCCCATTCCTTGGCAAGATCAACGAGCGCGACTTGCAAGGCAGTGCATGCTGGCTGGCTGTACTCCGTCCGGCGTAGGTTGCATTCGGCTTCGGGGCGATCCAGTTCTTCGGTCAAAGTCCAGGTGCAGCCAAGAGACTTGAGGATCGTCTCAGAGCGCAGCATGCTGTCTCTGAAAGCCTTGTACACGGAGAGTCCTTTGCCCATCTTGAAGTACTGGGCTCCTTGGCCAGTGAATACAAAGGCGACACCCGGCACAGACGAGTTGGACGATCGAACAACGGCGGGGATAGTCTCAAGACTCTGGTAAAGGCTGTTGATGTCGGAAGCAATTGCGAAAGACTTCCAGGGTAAAGTTGTCCGTTTCGAAGAGAGGGTGTAGGCAAGATCGGTCATTGAGAGCGGTTGGCCAGAGGTTTTGGTGGCAAGGTAGTCGATTATCCTTCCAACGTTACGTTTGACACCCTCTTGATCATTCGCGGAAAGCACGAAGAGCTTGGAGCAGGGCTCCTCTGGGCTGATGCTGCTAGTGGTCTCGGTTTCAGAGCCGATATCGCTGGCGTTGCTGGAAGTAGATTGAGGTAGTCTTGGCTTGGAAACTGTCGCATGACGTCCTGAGAGACCATGACGGAGGAGGTAGGATGCGGCATCTTCAAGGATGACATGAGCGTTGGCTCCTCCAAAACCAAAAGAGTTGATGCTAGCACGTCTTGGGCCGCTATGAGGCCACACAGTGAGAGTTGTGGGAATCTTGACGTTATCTGATAGCTCGATCTGGGGGTTGAGTTCTTCGAACCTGCAGGGACATGCATCAGTCAGATGTTCGATATGAAGTTTTCCGGGAGTAGAACTTGCCACAAGTTCTGAGGGATAAATCCCCTTTCGACGGCCAAGGCAGCCTTAATAATACCAGCTACACCAGCAGCACCCTCCAAATGACCGATGTTGGCTGAGAAATTTCTTAGTAACTGTTGAAAAGAGGCAGTAAATGGAGGAAAACGTACTCTTCACCGAGCCAACGTACAGCTCAGACTTGCGGCTGGGCTGGTCTCCTATCGTCTTGAGAATAGCACGCGCTTCCAGAGGGTCGCCGGCTTGCGTTCCCGTGCCGTGTGCCTCAACGTAGCCGGTCTCCGCGGGATCGACTCCAGCTCTGCGGTACGCAGTGCGGATGAGTTCCTGCTGAGCTTTGCTGTTTGGCAGCGAGATACCAGGGGTCCTTCCGTCCTCATTCGCTGCTGAGGCCAGCACAACAGCGCGGACGGTGTCGCCGTCGCGAAGCGCGGCATCCAAGGGCTTGAGAATTGTGACGCCAAACCCTTCTCCGCGAGCGAATCCGTTGGCGTTCGCATCCCACATCTTGGACTTTCCCTCGGGAGAGAGAATTTTGGCGGCACCGAGCAAAATAGACATGTCTGGGCCGAACATGAGATTGGCACCAGCAACAACGCTCTGTTGTGAAAGTTCTGTGTCAGCAGTTACTTTGCTCTGGAGTGAGAACGCTTCCATATGCTCAATTGTCACTTACCATCTCTGCCTCTCCTGTACGTATGCTCTGGCAAGCCAGATGGAAGGCCGTCAGACTAGACGAGCATGCAGTGTCAATGGTCATTGAGGAGCCCCTCAGGTTGTAGAACCACGAAAGCCGATTTGAGGCAAGGGAGGAGGAGAGACCGGTGGCATCTTTGACGAGGCATCAGAATGGCAATAATAGAACATGACGTGACAGAAATGGATACTCACGATAGATAGAGGGCCCTTCATTGTCACGAGCTTGCAGGTTGGGGAAGTCTCCGGTGAAGGTACCAATGTAGCAAGATGTTTGAGTTCCCGAGACGTCTTCCAGTCTCAGACCAGCTAGCGCACAATTAGTAAACGGGGTATTCGTTCAGGTTTGCTAGACCACCATAGACTTACCATTCTCAAAGCCCTCGTAAGTTGCTTCAAGGAGCATCCGGTGCGTCGGATCCATAGCCTTGGCTTCCTTAGGTGTGACAGAGAAGAATGGTGCGTCAAACACCTTGAAGTCCTGTTTTAAGAAGTGCGCATGCCTTGAAAGAACGATGAGACGATAAGTTTGAAGGGATTCTCAAGAAATCGGGCTTACCTGGGCTGGATGCTTCCCAGCCTTTCAGGGTCGGGATGGTAAAAGCCGTCAACGTTGTAGCGATCCTTGGGAATCTCGGATCGCGCAGAGCGAGCGTCCAAGAGCATCTGCCAGAACTTCTCCGGATCAGAAGCATCGCCGGGTGCTCTCAAGCCAATACCAATGATGGCAATGGGCTGACATGTGCTTTCAGCACGAGTGGGCTCGTCGATGAACGGCATTGTGTGTAACAAGGGGCAATAGAAGGAGAATTACTAATAAGTATAGCGCTTGGGTATCTTGGGAGAATTGTGGGAAGGATTTGGCTAGGACGAGAGTGTCAGGGAGAATCAAAGAGCAAACGAAGAAAAACAGCAAGAGCTCAAGGTGTCATATGTCTGCCTCCAACGATCTCGATCGGAGTAATCCGCATTTCCTTCCACAATAGCAATGTCTCGGTGAAGTCCATCCATGTCATCAGATAAGAGCGAAGATGCTTGCCTCGACCAGAGTCCGAAGGGCTCCATCTAGACAATACAAGTTATCCAATACCATCGTATCCTATAGACACGTTGCCAGTGGCCTCCTGTCCTCCAATATTGGGCGCAGCGGGACTACGAAAAGCGGTGATGGCCCGACAGTATAGAAGAGACGCTTGCTTATGTTCCGGCCGGAGCGTTTCCACATCCCGATCGCCCAGGGTCCTGCCAAGTACGGGAACAATCCGGGGGACTTATGGATTCAACAGCAACCGGCCCCGGTCACCAAGGGGGCGGCTGTAATGGATCCCTGATAGATGGGCCTCACATCTGATATTGTATTGCGGAGCACTTGTGGTGCCGCTGACTCGGGTCTCAGGTTATCATAGCAGAGCTGTACCCTGGAGCGATTGGCGAATAATCATACCCATGCTGATACAATTGAGTCTTTACAACAAATCTCACAGCACGTGGGCTCTTTTGTTTGTCCTTGTGAAGAGGATTTGCCCGGACGAGTTGCCGCCGGCATCGCTACAATGTATTCATTACGCGTCTTGCCGGCTGAATTTCGTATGAATGAACACGAGGAGTAATCCAGGCCCGTCCCCGAGGCGTTCAGAAAATACGAATCATCTCGGCCGAATGCGCATTTACCCCGGGTCCGATTGCGGAGCGTGTAGTTGGCCTTCAAACTACGGACACCTACTTGCTCTCCGTTGCCAGACAGCTTTTTTTTTTTGGGGGGGGGGGGGGGGGGGGTTGTTGCGCATCTAAGTCTTGGTATCATACATGCAGTAAAATTTGAAACCCTTCCGATTGATAGATCCACAAGGGACTTTGAAAGAAAATATCGAAATGTCAAGCGACATTTACTACATCTGAAGCCTCGGGCTCTACCAAAGGCTGGTACCAGCAAAACACATTGTCGGGGTCGTAACGCTGCTTCAAGGCACGCAACTTCTCTAACCTCCAAGGCTCATAACCATACAACGCTTCTGGAGGATCCTTCATCGTAGTTGTCGTGTTGCCATAGTTCACGTACTGCTGCAGTCGACCGTAACCCGACGTTGCGATGAACTCCTTCTTCCACCGGTCAAGGTGCTCCTCGAACTTTGGTTTAAACTCAAGCTTCAACGGCGTCGCCATGAGCATTCTGTCCACGCAAGTCAGCGCTTCTCGTCACGAGGTAAAGCGATAACATCATTTAGCATCGACTCACAAGAAATGATTCGATCCCCCGCGCCAAGGGAATGCCGTCGCTTCGCTGGGTAGCTCTCGTACTTTTTGGTGGGGCAAGCATTCGAACATGGCCCCGAAGAAGCCCTTGCCCGCCCATTCTTCGTTCATGGACCTGACACTCTCGAAAAATGCCCGGGTGGTCTTGAGATCGAACTTCTCGACGCAAGCAGCCCCCATCATCTTGTAAGGCGCTTTAGACCAGACCTCTGGCTTACTGAGAACGTTGTTCATGCCTTTGTATGTTTTCCATGGGAGGTCAGCCCATGTTGTGGTTAGTTTCCCGCTGTTGATAACGGGGTTTAGGTTCTTGAACCGTTGAATCCATGGATCTGCCTCGGTTTCGGGACCAGACCAAACCAGATTGACGAGTATATGATGCTGTGCAGACTTGTCAGCCTTGCTTTTCCGCGGCAGGGTAAAGACTCTTGACCTTTCTTCCTTCCTCGCTCTGGCGAACCCACAGCACGAAGATGGCCAAATTGGCTGGCATCACTTCATGAACGCTGTTGAGTGTCTCAAAGACAGAATCACACTGCTCAACAGTATACTCCAGGTCCCAAGTATAGTGTATGCCCTTGTTTGCCTGTGGATGTACGCGAAACGTAGCCTCTAGCGCGATGCCAAAGTTGTGCCCAGCTCCGCGGATAGCCCAGAACAATTCGGGGTTGGAATTCTTGGACACCAGAACAACGCTGCCGTCGGCGAGCACCATCTTACAAGACACCATGTTATCGTGCAAGAAGCCGTATTTTCCTTGGAGACGGCCGAGACCGGCTCCGAATGCAACTCCTATCACACCCGTGGTCGGGCAGGACCCAACGTCTGCCACGATATCAGCATGCATCTTGGAGATATGATACTCAGCATCGACTAATCACTTACTAACTTCCATCCCAACCGACTCAAGGTACTTGACAAAGTTGTCCGTTATGACGCCTCCGCCGACGGTAACTTGATGCCTTTCGGCGTCAAATTCTAACTTGTTTAGCGGACGCATGTCGATGAGGATCCCGTCTTTCAGGTGCCGCATCGTCGTAGTGACAGCATGGTGTCCTGATCGAGGTGCGAACGGACTGTCTTTTTCTCGGGCATATTTCATGACTTGAATCACATCCTCTTCGCACGCCGGCTCAACAGCCGCAAGATACGTCTATGCCGTAGTCAGCGTGAGTCTTTTGGACAATGCTTGCTCCGGCCTTACCGGACGCTCATAGTCTGTGAATCGCAGGTTCGATTTAGCAAACTCTTCGGATTCGGTGAGGTGGATGCAGGCTCCGGCTGAGAGTCTAGGCTCCAGCTCTTCCCGGATGGTCTCAGGGCTCGTTCTTCTCATCATGGTGCTAATGTCTTGATTCCTGACGTGAAGTCGTCGCCAAGCTGCCAAACAATCAGAGATTTTGTCAAACTTGAGAGCAATTGTCCGTCAGATTGCTTGAACATGGCTTGGAACCCGATTTCGGACACATCACATATCGAGTAAATCATTGTCCTTTCTCTGATGGAACCGTCGGCTCAATTTCGTCAAGTCCCCAACATCTCCACTCGCCAACTCAAGGGTCTATGGAAACACCTACGGGCGCAATGAGAGTGCAATTTTCCTACTATCGCAGAGCAGGAGACCCATGATGTAGGATTCCTCATTGGCAGATCGTTCCCACGTGCTGTGGATGAAACCCATTGGGGTTTTCAGGTCTACATGAATCCAGCCCCTCGAACTTCGAGATCCTAGACTCAACGGCCAAGACCGGGGTAATGAGCTTGTTTTTTAAACAAGCATTGACTCGTGCTCTTTCAAGGGGTCGGCTCCAGGATGTCTCGGGAAATAAGGTTCTCTCCTGCAGCTAGTCCAATACAAGACTTCCGTTCCGGACGACAGATTCGGCATTCATTGAGCAGCCCGGCGTGACCTACAGGGGGTTAGAGGTGGCAGTCAGGGAGTCCCTAGCACCGTGGCCCGCTCAGTATGAATCGAGTTCTCGGAAACCGCAGCGACCTTCTTATCGCGTTCCTCTACGATGGATCCCACGATGATTCTTTGCGGGTCCTTGAGAACGTGCAACAACGTTGTTTTCTTATTGGCAGGCTTGCTTTGACTACTCACTTCATCTCATGAGACCCCTGGACCCGTCACACGCGGAGAACCTCGTCATGTTCGTGTTGCAGCGGAACGTGCTCCGATCAGCTCTCCACCATAGCTATGAGTAAAGGAGCCAAGCTCGGTGGTCAAGATCAGAGATGCTTTCTTGATGTTGAAGGCGATGCAGATAATCTGGCTCAAACAAGTGCTGACACCGTGGTCAAGTTAAGGGATCTTCAATCATCACGATGGTCACGGTCAACTCACCTGAGCAGGTTCAAGCTCACCTGAGCAAGTTACCAGCTTTCTCGGCTTTCAACATTGCTATCACCTCTCTCTGTCTAGTAAGTTGAGTACCCAACGATTCTCTCAGAATGTAGTCTCATCAATCCTCCAGATCGCGATATACATCTTCTGCAGAAGCTTCTACTACCTCTACGTCAGTCCGCTCCGACACTACCCAGGCCCCAAACTCTGGGCCATCTCTCGCCTGCCATGGAACTATGTTAACATGAAGGGCCGCATCTCCTGGCGCATCCGTGAGCTCCACGACCAATACGGCCCCGTCGTCCGCATTGCGCCCGACGAGCTTTCCTACACGAGCTCCACGGCGTGGAAGAAGATTTATGGGCAGCGCACGCCCAGCGAGTTCCCAAAAGCCCTCGACGGCCGCGGCATCGCGCCGCCGACCATGGAGGGCCGGAAGACGCTGATGACGGAAGACCAGGCGGGACACGCGAAGCTCAGGCGCGCCATTAACCCAGCCTTTTCTGAGCGTGCGTTGCGTGAGCAGGAGTATTATTTTCAGAATTATACGGATACTCTCGTGAGTCAACTAAGGAGAGTTTGCAAAGAAGGCGCTGTAGATCTGTCAACCTGGTTCAATCTTCTTGCTTTCGACATTCTGAATGGTGAGTGGCCTACTTTCATAGAGGTCAGCCTGTATCTCAACTAACAAACTGCTCACTCCAGACCTCGCCTTCGGCACTTCTGAAAACTGTCTCAACAACTCCGACCATCCCTGGCTTCGCCTCATCAATACGCGCGCCAAAGCCTACGTCTGGATCCAACTAACAGTACAATACGGCGTCTTCGACCTCCTCACCTGGATCGCACCGCGCCGCGTGACCGAGTCCCGCCGCAAGCACATCGCCATGACGGAGGCCAAAGTCCGACAGCGCATCGAGACCAAGAACCCGGGCAAGGACTTTATGTCCTACATCCTTGATAAACCGGAGGAGGGCAATAAGCTCACCAATATTGAGCTGACGATGCTGGCGGGCACTTTCATCGTCGCCGGCAGCGGCACCACCGCCGGTGGCATGTCTGGCCTCACGTACCTGCTACTTCAGAACCCGGAGAAGCTCGAAAAGGTAAAGGCGGAGATTCGCGGCAAGTTTAGCACGCAGAAGGAGATCACTATGGTTGCTGCGCAGAATTGTAGGTACCTCCGCGCGTGCATCGACGAGGGCATGCGGTTGTACCCTCCCACGCCGGGCTCCCTGCCCCGATGGGTTCCGGGGAAGGGCAAGGTCATTAACGGTAGATGGGTTCCTGGCGGCTACGCTGTTGCTGTGAACCAGTTTGCGGCGGGACACTCTGAGCATAACTTCCGCCGAGCTCGAGAGTTCATTCCTGAGAGATGGCTTGAGCTGGGCCCCGAGTCTGAATTTGCCAACGATGATCGGGCGGCAGTCCAACCGTTTTCATATGGGCAACATATTTGTATCGGAAGAGCGTGAGTTTCTCCCCCCCCCCCCCCCAAAGGAAGAGATACCTCACAAAAGTCAAGAGGTAGACGCTGACGATCCTTTAGCATGGCGTTCGCCGAGATGAGTCTGACTATGGCAAAGATGATTTGGAATTTCGACTTTGAGCTCGAGAATCCTGCCGAAGATTGGTGGAGCAAACAGGGAACGTATATTATGTGGGAGAAGGTCCCTTTGATGATCAGGTTACGCCCTAGAACAGCTACTTGAAGCCTTTTAAGCATCAGTCAAACCGATGCCCAAAATACATCGCCCAGGCTTGCTAATTCATGGGAGGGTTATTATGGACTGTGTAGTCTCATCATACAGATAATCGACTTAAAGACAATCACCTTGCCATTATGAGATATGAATTATTGACATGATTCTATTGCCAATTATTTCTTGCACTTTTTCCTAAGCCCACAGCCAACGTTTCGCTCTCCCGTCCACGAGAACGACAAATCACACTCATGTTACCACAACGACAAAATCCTCTTTCAAATACATCATAAATGATTGCACGAGTTCATCTTCATGAAAGCGAGTCAATCGCCCCGTAGTGTCGACCCCCCGAGCTGTCACTTACCAGCAGAATGGTTGACGTCCGAGTCAGCGGGCCGCATCCAGGGGTTACCCATGTGTCATTCCCCCGTTCATTCTCGTCTGCAAAATCCCCTGTCCTCGGATCAGGGACGTCTTCCACCTCGCGATGGAGCCTTTGATTAGATTCCCATGTCGTTTCCACCAGCGCAAGCTGTCGGACCAATGCCAAGCATCCTCTAGAGCACGTTGGCCGAGGGTCGATCGGAGTTAGAGGCGTTGAGTGATATTGACCGTTTGACCAATGACTGCGCAGACGCTGGAGGGGTCTTGTTACACGCTTCCCATCAAGATGGCCAGCAATCATCGTGAAGTTGAAGTTTTGTAATGGTGATGATGATGATAGCATCCTAGGTCCTCGTGCCTGTAAGAGACCAATTGTACGTCTCTCAGCTGAAGCATCCCGCAGACCCCAGATAGAAACTCAACGTAACATGGCATCTCGAACATTCTCCATCACTACAATGGCCCAATTCCTAAGTCTCAAACTCCATCATCATCTTCACAACATCCCGCTCTATACCCTCATCCCCCTCCTCCTGCTCATCATCCACCTCCTCCTCACCCTCCACCACAACATCTCCCACGCCAGACGCGCCCGCACCCTCTCCTGTCACCCAGCACCCCTCGAGCCCTCAAAATGGCCCCTCGGCCTCGACGTCGTCCTCGCCTCCCTCCGCGCCGACCGCGAGCAGCGCACGCCAGACCACGTCGCCGCGCGCTTCGCGGCCCTCCGTCGCAACGGTGACAGCAACAACAGCAATCTAAAACCCAACACCAACGCCAACGGCGGCGTCTACACCTTCCGCACGTCCCTGCTCGGCACAACAAACGTCGTCACCGCCGACCCGCGCAACATCCAAGCCCTCCTCGCCACGCAATTCCGCGACTTTGGAATGGGCCTCGCCCGCAGCACGAACCTCAAGACCGTCCTGGGCCGGAGCATCTTCGCGGCCGACGGACCGGCGTGGCGCTCCGCCAGGGAGGTGATGAGGCCCCTCTTCAGCCGCGATAACGTCTCCAGGCTGGATCTGCTCGAGGCGCACGTCCAGACGCTGTTCCTCTGCATCGAAAAGGGGACCACCACGACAACCATCGCCAACATGAACGCCGCAGACGGAACGTGGTCCGCCCCCGTGAGCCTCGCCTCCCTGTTCCCCTGCCTCACCCTCGACTCCGCAACAGAACTCTTCCTGGGCCAAAGCACACGCACCCTCTCCGCCCGCCTCCGCAACGACAACTCCCACCCGGGAACGGCCTTCAACCACGCCTTTGAAAAACTCCTCGTCGTGCTCGGCACGCGCATGCGTCTCCGGAGCTTCTACTGGCTCTACGGGAACAAAGACCTGCGCTCCTGCGTAGCGACGCTCCACGCCTTCGTCGACGCCGCCGTCGCCGCCTCAGATGCGGCGAAAGCACAGGGTTCCTCCCTCGCGCGGTACGATTTCCTAGATGTTCTTCGAGAACGATGTGCCGGCGGGGGAGGGGACGAAGAAGTTCGCGAGCAGGTGTTGGGGTTGCTCGCCGCGGGACGGGATACCACCGCCTCGCTGATGAGTTGGGTCTGGTACTGCCTCGTTCGCAACCCGCGCGTGTTTTCCAAGCTCCGCGCGGAGATAACATCAACCTTTGGACCTTACTCTTCTTCCATGGATCCTTCAGAAACATCAATGACGTTCGCGTCACTGAAGCAGTGCACCTACCTCCAAGCAATCCTCTCCGAAACCCTCCGCCTCCACTCAGTGGTCCCCTTCAACTCCCGCCGCGCCCTCATCGACACGACCCTCCCCGCCGGCGGCGGCCCCCACGGCACCGACCCGATCTTCGTGCCCGCGGGGACGGAAGTCAATTTCAGCACGCACGTACTCCACCGGCGCAAGGACCTCTGGGGCGAGGACGCGGATGAGTTTGTGCCGGAGAGATGGGAGGCGAAGAGAGGGTCCGCGAGCGCGGCGTGGCATTTCGTGCCTTTCAACGGCGGGCCGAGGATTTGTATCGGGCAGCAGCTCGCGCTGACGGAGGCGGGTTACGTGATTGCGAGGATGGTGCAGAGGTATGAGGCTGTGGAGGGGTTGGATGTTGATGCCACTAGAGATTGGCATAATTTTACGGTGGTTTGTGGGCCTGGGAGCCCGGTTGATCGGAATGAGGCGGTGTTGTGTCGGTTGAAGGTTGCGTAGGTCTTGTAAACACGTCGTGCTAGAAACCCAGATCGATTACCGATGGTTATGAGTTCGAGTGAGAATATAGCGACGCCATTCGCTGGTTCCACTAGACGCGCGATTGGAACAAGTACTGTTGTCCGAGCAATGTAATACTTGGGAAATATGAACAACAGCGTATACACTTACAAGAACTTGCATTTTGGGCCCCAGAAACCAGGGCTTGATGGAACGTGATTGCTCGCGGGCCGTTTGGATACCGTAGGGCGCATGATACGCCTAGGATGCCGGCCGGCGGTGTATCGGGGAAGTGGATCAAGGCGTCGTGAGCAAGCCGTTCCGTTCCGGCCGTCGGCTTTGGACTTGGTCGGATCATTCATCACATTCACAGCATTCATATAGGACAGGAGAATTTTGATTGTTTTTGTGTTATTGGTATCATTCAACGTGATGTTTGAAACGAGAAGAAAAAAGTTACATCAAGGTCATGTACACATTTGCGCCGGAATAAGCCCCAGTTTTCATTACCTTTCCAACCAAGCCTTTCCACGGCTTAGAACAACGCTCCGCCCAGACGGATCGCGACGGACTTGTTCTGAGTGTAGTTTGCCAGAGCAGCCTCGCCGAGCTCTCTGCCAATACCGGACTCCTTGAAGCCGCCGAAGGGCACCTGGTAGGAGAGCATGTTGTAGCAGTTGACCCAGACGGTGCCGGCCTTGATGGCGTTGCTGACGCGGATGGCGGTGTTGAGGTCGGTGGTGTGGACGGCGGCGGCGAGGCCGTAGGTGGTGTCGTTTCCGAGCTTGATGACCTCCTCCTCGTCCTTGAACTTGGCGATGGCGCAGACGGGGCCGAAGATCTCCTCCTGCATGATCTTCATGTCCGGGCGGACGTTGCTGAAGATGGTGGGCTGGATGAAGTAGCCCTTGTCGCCGTGGCGCCCGCCGCCGGTCTCGACGGTGGCGCCCTCGTCCTTGCCGGCCTTGATGTAGCCCATGATGCGGTCGAACTGCAGCTGGGAGACCTGGGGGCCCTGGAAGGTCTCCGGGTGGAAGGGGTCGCCGACCTTGTTCTGCTCGGCGCGGGCCTTGAAGGCGGCGAGGAACTTGTCGTAGATGCCCTCCTGGACGAAGATGCGGGTGCCGGCGCAGCAGCACTGGCCGTGGTTGTAGTAGATGCCAAAGTTGACCCAGGAGATGGCCTGCTCAATGTCGGCGTCGTTGAAGACGATGTTGGGGGACTTTCCGCCGAGCTCGAGGGTGACCTTCTTGAGGTTGGAGCTGGCGGCGGCCTTCATGATCTGGCGACCGACGAGGGTGGAGCCGGTGAAGGCGATCTTGTCGACGTCCATGTGGGCGGAGAGGGCGGCGCCGGCGATCTTGCCGAAACCGTTGATGAGGTTGAAGACACCGGGGGGGAAGCCGGCCTCCTTGATGAACTGGGCGAAAACGAGGGCGGACAGGGGAGTCTGCTCGGCGGTCTTCATGACGATGGTGTTACCCGTCGCCAGGGCGGGGGCGATCTTCCAGGAGAGCATGAGGAGGGGGAAGTTCCAGGGGATGACCTGGGCGCAGACACCGATCTGGAGAGGGTTTGTTAGCTGGCGGTTCTGGATTGTACCAAGAATGACAGCGACTTACAGGCTCGGAGCGGGTGTAGTGGAACATGTCGTGGGCAACGTCAATGGTCTTGCCCTCGATCTTGTCGGCCCAGCCTCCGTAGTATCTCAAGCAGCCGACAACGGCACCAACATCGCCCTTGGCCATGGAGATGGACTTTCCGTTGTCGAGAGACTCGACAGCGGCCAGGAGGTCGGTGTTCTTCTCGGCAATATCGGCGAGCTTGTTCAGGAGGTAACCACGCTGGCTGGGGGGAACCTTTCTCCACTCGCCCTCAAAGGCCTTGCGGGCGGCGGCGACGGCGATGTCGACATCCTTCTCGGTGGCCTCGTGGACGGAGGTGATGACCTCCTCGGTGGAGGGGTTGATGACCTCGAAAGTCTGCTTGTCAACACCCTCAACCCATTCGTTGTTGATGAAGCTAGAGAATCACGATATGTTAGACTTGGTGATTTCGAGGTCGTCATTGCTCGCGGGGTAAGCGGCGGCGGGATAAGGATTGAGGGGTGGAAAATACGCACAGTCCAGTAGGTTGGTTGTAGGCGCCCGTCACCGGGGTCTTGAGCTCAACGGACAAACCCATTGTGTGTGATTTTTGTGGAAAACAAGTACGAAACGTGGAAGGGTATTTGGTATCACGGAAGAAAGAAGAAAAAGTTTGGATTGGGATGGGATTGTGAGTTGAGAGTAGTGAGAAGTGAGAGAGGGAGGGAGAGAAACTGGAAAGACGAAGCTGGGGATTACAGACTGTATATAAAGCGGGGTCCGGGGGGGGGGGCACAGAGCAGCCAGAGCAGAGCAGAGCTGGGGGAGAGAAGTCCGAAAGTGATACGGTATACCGCGCGGCGCAAAGGCAGTGGAGGGGACGAAATGTCAGAGACCTAGAGACTGGAGTGTGAAGGGTCAAGGAGGCGAAGGCGATACCTTGCTCGACGACGGTGGGGCCCGGGGGGGGGGGGGGGGGGGGGGGGGGGGGGGGGGGGGGGGGGGGGGGCAGCGCGGGGGGGGGGGGGGGGGGGGAGAGGGGGGGGGGGGGGGGGGGGGGGGGGGGGGGGGGGGGGGGGGGGGGGGGGGGGGGGGGGGGGGGGGGGGGGGGGGGGGCAGGAGGGTGTACGGATGGAGGGGAAGACTCCAGACTCAGAGTAGGGTAGGTACTGCGCAAGGATGAGGGGAAGGGGAGACTGGAGTGTCTGCAAGATAGTAACCTAACACTAAAACCGAGGCCTGGTCTATCCGTACTTGGTATCGGAACCGCAGATTGGATGGGCATTGGATGAAAGGGAACGTGAGAGAATCCCCCCATGGGCCGGAGCAACGTCAAACACGGTCATTCGGTGGACTGGACTGGACTTGAGATCTCCACACTGGGGGGCCAGACACGCATCTGCATGCTGTCAATGAACAGGGTTGGGGAGGGGGGGGGGGGGTTCTTCGTACTTACACCAGATATTGACAAGCTAGGGTGGACTCCCATACAGTAATCGATTTGTTAGTGTTGGAGGGGAGAAGGAGAAGGGGAGAAATGGAGGGGCAGCAACTTGCAAGGGATGGATGCAAGATGGGACCTCGAGCTAAGGTAAACGGGGAAAGGTGGGCGCCGCTTCGGGCCAACGCCTGGCTTTCCTTTCCTTTCCTATCCTTTGCTTTCCCTCGTTCCCTTTACGCCGGACGAGCAATACGCTATCCACCGGTGCGTTGCTGTGCTGTGCTGGCTGACAGCAGGTCTTCACTGGGACTCAGAGACTACCAGTAAGGTAGATCAAGACTGCCACTAGGTGATGCCTGTTCGACTCGGCCCAAGTTTACCAGAATGCCACCCAGGGGTGTGTGTGTCACTGTGGGTTCGGTTCGGTGGGAATTGAGTTCCGCGTTCCCATTCCCCGGGGCCCCAGGTTAGGAAGAAGAATCGCGAAACTGTCGTGATGATATTGGACTAGATGGCTCTGAGGTAAGTTGTGCTCGACCATATGTCTGTTGCCATCTTTTGATTTCTCTCTTCTTGCCTCTATACTGTGAATATCTACCATGCTTTGTTTGCTTTTGTTCTTGAGATAAATATGAGAGGTTGCCACGCCCCAGAGCTCCAAACCCCTCTCTCTCCGCTTCCCCTCTCTTGCAGTTTGTCGACCCCGCATTTTCTCCATCACAAGTTGCGTCTTCCATTGGGCACCCAACCAATCAGCACATTTCAAATTGCTGGTCTTGTCTTGATGCAGCAGCCACACCCGCTTCAAAGCGCTTCATCACACACACCAAACATCTTCTTTTTTGTCTCTCTACTATGATTATCCCACAGCTATTGAATCTGCCCGAGGGTCCTGCTTAGGATACTATGACAAATGGCATCACCTAGGGAACAGACGGGCTCTGCGCTGCAGCTACTCCTCGCCGATCCCTGCCAACTACCGTGCTACAGTGCAACTATGCTACTGTAGCTGAGCAGCTATCAAACACATCGGAATTCGAGCTCGGGACCAATGTGTCGTAGCCATAGCACGCTTAGAAATGCCGAATCAAAAGAAGTCTAACTACTATAACCCCGGATTCTTTCGGCATTAAGCCATCCTCCAAGAGATGATCAGACGATGAACTATTGGATGCCCGTTCCATTGTTTGCTGCCAGTTGTACTCCGTACATAGTATGTAAGCTCTGGATGGATGGGCGGAAGTTCGCCGGCGCGTGTTTTCAGATGCTTTCCGACCGGATTGCCTGCAGTCAGCAAGTTGAACTACACCCCCAACGTCCTGTGATACCCAAACCATTCCGTGACAATCGAGTCAGAATGACGGTCCCGTTCCAGCCCGGCATATGCATTATGGGATAAGCAGTATGGGACGAAACACAATTCCTCACACTTTGACTTGGTCGTTGGGTGCCCCAGAACTTCCGCCTGGCATAACTGGCACCTTTCCCCTCCACCCCACCTTTTCATTCCCACCTTGACGACACACGCACGCGTTCTCTACAGACGTACCGCCGTACCTTACGTCGACTCGGTGGCTGGCCATGAAATGTTGGGGCCCCGGGTCCCCGACCTGCCACCTTGAAGGTTGCCGGTAAGATTGAGATTACCTTTTTCTTTGGACTTCTCCATACCGGGCTCTGCACACTCTGGAGTCTGGATACCGGGGCGCGGACACAGGATACCTAACCACCCCCCCCCCGACCCACACTCATGTACATACATCTCCAAGTTTTTTCTTCACGGTGTCTTGGCTCGATCATCCGCGGCATCTTAACTCCTACACCTCCAAAGGGGGGCAGGGTAGCTCCGTCGTGCGGCGTTAAGCAATGACATTAGGTGTAAAGATAACGGGGCTCGAAATACTAAACATTTACTCGGGAGAAGACTACGGTACTTAATTACCACGAGCTTTTGAGGTCTGAAAGACTGAAACTCCTCTTCTCTCGGGGTGTCTTTACTGCCCATTCCCCGGGCCTCTCTGCTCGGTGCAAATGCAAGCGAGCCCTTCTGCTCAGAGATCCCCCGCACCGAAGAAACCCAAAAGGTGGATATAGATTTATTAGCTAAGCCCGCAAAAGGGTCTCAGGACAGTGGGATGGGAATTTTGCGGCGTTTGCAGAGTGATATATCGACATCCCCCGATATTGAATGCACGCCCCCTTTTCCCTTTGTTGCCCCTCCATCGAATTCCTGCCGCGCCCCCGACCCGAATCCCCCTGTCGCACTCCCTTTGCTGCCTTCCTTGTACCCGACATCATTCGACAGCGACAAACCCTCTTGGCCGAAGCGCTTGCTTGAGTGCTTTGCTGTTGGGGATGTTGTGGGGTGAGCTTTTGTCCGTCTCTTCGGTCTGATGGCAGTTTCACAGCGGCTACACGGAGCTTATTCATTGCCTTTTGTCTGTAATCGTACCCTGGCATATCTCTATAGCGTTTACTCCAGCTGAACGCGGGACCGCAAATAGATCAGGTAACAACCCATCTATCAAAGTTTCTTGAATCGCATGTATCGTGTCAATAGCTATGAATCAAGATACTCACGCAAAGTCAGCCTTCTGACCCTTGAGACGAAATAGGTCCCAAAATATGTCTTCAGCCCTGCACGTAACTGTATTCGTCCTACACTGCATAAACTACAGTCCCCAGTCTCTTATGTAACCACTCGCCCCCAAACTGGTCGGAATCACTCTTTCCACCCTCGGTTCCGACAAACATCAAAAACTCCCAAATTCGTTCCGAAGAGCAGTTGCCATTTCTGTATGCACCCAAAAGGAATTCCTTCGCGCGGAACCCGAACCGGGCCCTGGTGTCCGGAAGAGAAACTCGTTCCCCAACTTGCCAACGCCAAGAGCCGAGACATTAGAACCCCCCCCCCTTTCCATCCCCATCGTCCATGGGCCCCATCCCAAGTCCCGTGAGGCTGCGAACCCGCCCGCCGCCTCCGCCGCCGCCTTGCTTCACCTGTGCGGATCCGCACTTGCATTTCCCACAAGCGTCGGCCGCGATTTCTCATCGAGTTCTATTTTCTGGAGCTGCCGCTCCCAATTACACCCTTGCTCAAATTGTCAATGGTCCAAAGTTGCTAGGCGCCACTCACTTTATTCTCATTTCTTGGTCCAATAGACGCGGTGCGATCTGGTTCACTGTTTCCCTCGTTGGTGTTTTTTGGGATTAACTTGGATGGTCCTAAGCTAAGCCGCCCTCCACAAGCCCGCCGGGCGGTGTTTTGGCCATCTGGTTGATCCCCGGATCCCCGCACTTTTGCGGCTCCTTTGGGATACGTAGATACCCCCGTGACCGCCGTCTGTTCCCTCTGTCCGTACGGGGCGGACGTGAGCTTATTGTGTCAGCTGTTGTTGGGTTTGACGATATGCTGGTTTGATGCCATAGAACGCTATTGACCCAGAGCAGCGTGATTCTCGCCAGTTTTGCTGACTAAACTGTGACATCTGTTGGCGTACCAAGCCCTGCGCTCGTGGTGTAAGTCAGTTATGCAGCCGGCCGGCCCCATCTGCGGGCATCTGCGGGGACCCTTCCACAGAACCGCTCGCCCGGAGCCCGCCATATGAACTGAAGACAGTGTAACTGATTGATCTGTTAGCTGGAGTAATCCGGGAAGCTCATCTTCTCATACAATCTGATGATAATGGCTGCGTGACAATGACCGTGACGGCCGCCGTCCTTGCTCCAAGAACCATGGACGATAAGATCCAGACGCCGAGGCAGGATCCTCGCCAAGGGTTCACACCGTCAACGGCAAAGCAGCTTGAACTACAATGTCAGTTCAGGGGTCCTTTCTGAGCAGTTTGCCCAACGAATCAATGTTTGTTGTCTTCGGACACGCCCCCCGTAGGTAAGAGTACCGACATGCTGGCTCCCAAGGACTCAAGCGGCTCTCAGGTACCTTTTGTCTAGGAATCCTCGTAGCTTTGTAGCCAATGGAAAGTCGTTCTGGTCGTTTTAATACTTGACATGGAATACAACTCGCGAGTCCAGGTCACTTGGCGGAAGCTGGGGCTTGGTACTAAGTGGCGAGCAATGCTCTTCTGCCGCATCTCCTCTACCGCATCGAGTATCCGGACTGATTAGGCTGTTGAGCTCGAACTAAAGTCGCAATGGATCGACATATATCAGAGTATAACTTTACGCTCATCGCACTAAGTGTTCTTCGAGTCAGTTGTCGCGGTCAGTGTCAGTGAACATTGTGGCCGTGAGAAGTAGCAGGATTTCCTATTCTGTGGTCAATTTGAGCAAGCCTTCCCTTGTAACCCCCAGCGTTATTGTCCATAAATATTGATGTTACATTCATTTCGGTTGCTATCCGTATCTCCTCCCCATGTTTGTGACTCGCAACTCACTGCTGATCGTCCTCGGCTAACCCCTCGCCCGTCAGTGACATAGCTATCGAAAGGATGTACCGAACCTTGAGCAGTCCAAAGTCTGGGAGGTCTTCCTTCCTGGCCGCAGTAATGTCGAACTCGTAGCCGTCCTCGACGTACTCACGTGTTTCAAAGTGGACCATGCGAAGAGACTTTCCAGACTGAGTGAGTCTCTCCCGAGAGACCATGCGGGGGTCCATGTCGATGCACACCGCTTTGGCGTAGGATCCTCGGACAGATTCGAGCCTGCCAACTCTATGATCCCTTTCCTGATCAAACATGGCTTTTCGGAGCCATCTAAGCCGGAGCCGGATGGAGCAGTCGGTTTGTGAGATAGGCTCGAGGGCAATCCACGCCTTCGCCCACCATTTCGAGAGTATCTCGTTGAGGGAGATCATGTTCGCCAAAGAGAAGACGGTAGCCAGCGACTGTAAAACAGCGAGATACTTGCGAATCTCAAAGCCAAAAATGTCTCCCGAATCTTTATGCAAGATATACTCCAACGAAGCAGCAGTTTGCGAAGTAGGAAAAGGAAGGACCAGACAAACCCTAGGGTCGGCAGACTTTGTGACAACGCAAGTGCTCTCGTCTCGGAGTGAAGAAGCGGACTGAACAGATCAGTACCTGCACAAATATGCTTGTGGGCCGTGCGGAAACTTACAATAGCTTGTTTGATATCGCCTCTCAGATGGTCCTTTACTTCGACCGCGTTGAGGCCATCCTTGGGCTCGTAATGGTGAGCCGGAAGATAACCACGTTTGGGAAACACTATAATTTACCAGTGTTGGCTCGCTGATCTCTTGCAAGGTGTTTTGAGCAACTCACACTCTCCAATCATCCTGGAGAGAAAATAGCAGACTCTCCGAGGTAGCACGTATCTGATTGTGAAGGACATCCATCGTCCGTACACTCTTCATCGTGGAATTTGCGAATGGCCTCCATCGGCGCCATCATGAGTGATGCCCACGCCAGTTTGTCCACAACTTCAAAGTCTCATCTATGATGCTTGCAATAGGCCGAATGCGAACTGCGGCACCAAGACTTGGCGAGCTCAAGTCTTGCGTCAATGTCGCTGAGATAAGAAATTTTGGGAAGGAGAGCATCCCGTAAAGCGTCGATGTGATCATGCTTGGTGTCCGGATGGTTCAGGTAACGCCTCAATTTTCCTAGCAGAACATCTTTGTGCTTGCCTAGCAGCCTCTTGTCTGCTTCGGGATTCTCTTTGCTGATGCCCGAAGCACCATTTCTGGCCGACATGTCGAAGTGCTTTCCGATGCTTAGTTAGGTAGATAGGTAGGTACCTTGATCACTCGCGAAGGAGGAGAAGGGACTGGTGTGTCAGCGGCAAGAGAAAGATCGAGAGTAGGTAGGTAGGTATCTTGTCTAATGAAACGAAACGATGCAAAAGTGGGAGGCACGAGGTCCGAACTTGAATCGCGCCTGGAGGAAAGAACGCCAGGCTGGTCTTTCATCTTGATGAAGGAACGACCGAGTGGGTGAAGCATCAATCATAGCATTGAAATGACCTTCGTACCTGCTTAATTGAAGCAGACAGCCATCTGAGCCTGACTCCAGGCTCCAAACTGAGAGATGGATCAAGACTCTTCGATGCTACTGCCACCGACTACACGTACTGTACATCACGTCTCGAGTATGAGAATTATAGTCCATACTCTTGATGAACGCTCACTTTTCAAGAGAATGCTTGACATGATCACGTGTATCCAGCTGAGAAGGCTCGTCAAACTGTGAGAAGGAACTCATCCCTGGCGGTCGTGATTGGCAGAATGGGCCAGTGACATATCATGTTGATCCCCTGGTCATCAATCTCCAAGAACCCCAGACTGAAAGGGGTGAATCTGGGGAATGACGTCATGCTGGATGGCAGCAACATGATTGTCCCTTAAGAAAAGGTAGGTCCGTTGCTGGGTGACAGACTCTATGATTTGAGCATTTACAAAAGAAAGTATGCGGTGAAAGACAAGATATATGGTTTACTATCCAGATAGGGTGAGGCTTGAGTGGTTCTATTGGCCCATTCCTCTGAGGCAGAAAAGAATTCGACAACAGCCAACCTAGAAGGTTTTGAGCTTCCCGTCTCGAGAACGGAAAAAATTGAGGGGTTGGGATGGCCATCTGGATTCGGCGTGCAGGTGGACGCGGCTCCGAGGGGCAGGGGACAAGAAAAAAAAAATCGTTGCGATAAAGTGGCAGAGTGGAGACCGAACGCATGGACCAAGTTGCATTTTGATTGCGCTGGCCAATCAGTAGTCATTCTTTACTGGGAAGCAGCGGTGAATTTTTTTGAGAAATCGCTCCTTCCTGTGTATCGGGAGTGACATCTTCTTTGGGGCAGATTATAAGGGCATCGGCGCTCGGATTTTCTCCCAAAAAGTTTTTCCGCCTCAGTCCAAGAACCGTCAAGATCACGACTGACCCCCCGCCATTGAGCTGCACGGCGACCAGACTGACCCCAAAAAGCTGTCTCCGTGCTTCTCGATGCTCATGGAGGGCATTGAAGCTATTGCCGAGTCGGCTCAGGCCGCCAAGCCTGAGGCGCACTCGCCGACAGGTATGCGCTTGCCTTTCCCGCCATCCCACCAAGCAAAAGATCTTCACCCGGCCTCGAACCAACTTGCACGCACCCGAGGCACGCTTTCGCAAGCGTCGCAAACCAGGCTGACTTGCCGTAGTAGGACCAGAAATGAAACAGGAGTCCCCGACTGTCGCCACCAATCTGGGCGAGACCCCTCAGTTCCCACTGAAGCGACCCCGCGATTCGAGCGCAGACGACCCCGAGGCCGAGTCCAAGAGGCTGAAAGTTGACGACGATCAACCACCCCAACAAACCCCGGAGCAACAATCACTTGAGAAATCACTTGAAAAATCACTCGAGCAATCACTCCAGGAATCACTCGAGAAGTCAATTGAGAAGTCGATAGAGAGATCACTCGAACAAGCATTCGAAGAATCTCAAGAGCCATCTCAAGCGCAATCCCAAGAGCAGCCCCAAGATCAACCCCAAGAGCAACCACAGGAGCAAACTCACGAGCAACCTCAGGAGGAGAATCACGACGACCATGCGGCTCTCGATCTCGGATTTGACATGGACGCCATGATCCAGGGTGTGATGATGGACATCAGCAACGAGATGAACAATGAGATAGGAAAGGTCGAGGGTCTGGACGGCGTCACGGATGTCGACATGACGGCAGATCACTTGGCGTCTGTGTCGCAAGACTCTGCCCCGTCAACTGACACACATGCCATTGTTCTCTCTGAGCCTTCGGCCTTGATGAGGCGCATCACCACCTCCTGTTTGTCAAACTTTGTACGTGGCGGTCTCGTCAGCTCTGGAGGCGCCGCTAATCATATCTCAATCTTCAGGCTATGCAACTTCTCGTAATCATGTCGCAGCATGTCTACCACGACGTTTATCAGCAGTTACAAGACAGAGAATCAGACCTCTGCAAGTCCTTCAGCACACTCAAGTCTCTGCTCCGGCAAACTCGATCGATTTACTCCACGACCGACCTTATCTTGGACCCCGCAGTGCTTGATCTGACTGCGCCGGATAACCTCACCGATATCCAAGTCGCCAACCTCGCCAGCTTCTGTTGCGAACTTTTCACCTTCGACGGCGAACACCAACTCGGCTCGAACGAGCTCTTGGCTCTGGAGGACAAATTTTTCACCGTCTTCCCGCCAGGCACCGAGGGCATTTCGCATGATATCTCTGAGCTCTTCCTCGCAGTCAAGACACAACTAGTCATCGAGTCCGTGACATCAGCGAATCAGTCTGGGCCTGTTGACCAGTTGATTGCCCAGGCTTTCTCGTCCAGCCTGGAAGATAAGCTAAAAGCAAGACACGAAGGATCTGACTTGACTGCTGAAGAGAGAGCCCTGGTGACATCTGTGGAGGAGCGCAAAACGTCCCTGATTACTTACGCGTCAGGACTCCCAGATACTGGTAAGTTGTCGAGTGCAAAGGCTGATGGGGCCCATGACTGATACATTGAGTTAGTTCTACTGAAGATCGGCTACCCGGAGGAAGACTTATTTCACCAACTGAATGTGTACCTGCGCCAAAAGCTACAGTCGGTCTCTGGACTGGCCTCGAGGCACGGCATCGATCTTCCTCAGATTATGACCAACGGAGACCTCGACGCATCGATGCCACCCGATCTCGACGACCTCGGAATCTCATCATTACTGGAGGCTACGGATGGACTTGTTGCGCAATATCTCCCCAGTGAACCGGTCGATGGATTACCTACCGAACAACAGCCGCCAGTTCCGACGACTGAGAGCAGTGTCCCGCCCCCCGAACCACCTGCGCCTGCCCCTGAAGCCGCTCCCCCGGCGCCAACCACAAATGGTACCACAACTGAAACTCAAGACGCGACGAATGATATTCTCGCCCTTGTTGCACAGAGCACACAGGAGTACGTTCGAACTACTCTAAACAACCTGTCTCCAGCGCCCTATCAGCCAACCGTACCCACACCGACGGGCGCCGCTCCGGTCACGCAGACGACATACCTCTCACACCTGCAACAAACCCAGCAACAATCGCCATACTACGGATACCCGCCACCAGTGGAACAACCACCGCAGCCTACGGCTCATGAGAGTAACGAAAAGCTGCCTCCTAGTCAGAGCCTACCTAGTGCTGTGCTTTACGACAGGGCCCGCCAAGCTGCCTTGAGCAAGACCAATAACCAGCAGAGAAGGGAAGGCACCACTTCGACAAGACGCCCATGGACTCAAGAGGAGGAGAAGGCCCTCATGACTGGTCTCGATATGGTCCAGGGACCTCACTGGAGCCAAATTTTGTCTCTGTTTGGTGCAGAGGGCACTCTTTCCAACATACTGAAAGATCGAACGCAAGTCCAGCTCAAAGACAAGGCCCGCAACTTGAAGCTCTTCTTCCTAAAGACAAACTCCGAGATGCCGTATTATCTGCAAGCCGTCACAGGCGAGCTCAAGACAAGGGCACCTACACAAGCTGCCCGCAAGGAGGCTGAGGAGCGAGCTAGGATGAACTCAGAGGAGGAGCAAGCTCGGGTACAGGGCATCATGACACTTGCGGGCGGATTACAGCATCCTCAGCATCCCCACCACCCTCAACATGCACAACACCCGCAGCATCCACAGCATGTACAACACGCACAACATGCGCAGCACCTTCAGCAAAATAGAGCAAGCGTGACACCAGCGACTGCACCGAGCACGCCGTCACAGTCTGCCGCCCAGGTCTCGCATCACATGGCCGCCCATGCGACGACACCGACGCATGCTGCTGCAGCGGGCCCGCCTGCCACGCCAGTACAAGCAACACCGAGCCATGCTAGAGTTTTGCCAGCCTCCTCACCGTATGCCGCAACCGCTGCTCAATTACAAACATCTCACAGCTTGCCACAAACTCAGCCACAAACGCCGACGCATTCCCACATTCAGCATCATTCTCACCCGGGAACGCCACAGCCGCAACACCATGCTCAACAGCCGCAGCACCAACCTCAACAGCAGCACATCCAGCCGCAGGTCTCTCAGGCTGCTGAGACTGCGCCCAATTACACGACCGATTCATCAGCTGCGGTCTACAGTCAAGAGACCGAAGATCTCAAGGAAGCCGCTCTTATGCAGAGTCTTAGGGAGCTTGAAGCATATAGCGAAAGCGCCAGCGCTAGCGTATCATAGAGTGACGACCTAATTATGGCTTCGTATCTTCATCAACCCGCCGTTATCAACGATTATCACCAGAATTACTACCACGACGGCATCCAGGACTTACAGTGAGGAAGGATCAGGTCTTGGAGAATTAGGCTTCACCTTGGGGATGGCTACTCTGACCGGGGGTGTTACTCGCGACACCACCATCCTACGCCTTACATTAGACCAAGGGTGTCGTCAACAAAAGCCGCCGGGGGTTTGTGTATAAGAGGGTTGTCAACCCGAGAGTCGATAATCTGACCACGAAAATCACTTGTTATATATGGGACGGCATGCTTTTCCGTCCACACTGAGCAGTTTCTGGAGTAGAAAAAAAAAGAGAGACGGGAGGGACCGGGACAGCAAGGCAAGAAGAAAAGAAAAAGGGGCGGCACCAAAAAGCGATTTTTTGTTTGCTCATGATACCACGATTGACCGAGAGGATTAAGGCGACGGTGGCGAGATTTTCGCCCTTATTTTTAGTACGCCCGGAACAGAGAATTGACTGCATAGCGAAAAAGGAATGAATACAGAGCAGGGTT